ATGAACACCACCAAGAAACACTATTACCTACAATCAAAATGACCTCTCAGATGGGACAGTTCATGGTCAAATTCATTTCAAAAGTGTACATAAACACAAATAATAACAATATATGAATCGCACACAATTAGAAATAACATAGTCAGGCGGCAGAAAATAGGCTTAGTAAACGGTTGTTTGGTGGGCGACATATATCAAATTTCAGAAATAACACAGTCAGGCATCAAAAATACGCTTTGCAAACGGTTATTTGGCAGGCAATATATATCAATAGCATTATCTGTAAATTTATTCAATAGATGGGGCAGTGTATAAGTTATTGATTGAGAAGCATAGTTATTCTGCGGCGTTGGAACGGACCACGTTTCTGGGAAACGTGTATCGTGCCAGTGAGATTTATTTTGTAGCACCGATAGGTCATTATAAAATGAGTTATTCTTCTTATTTGCCACGCAGTAAGACAACGTCAAACGGTAGTTGTAAAGATGATTTACAGTCATTACTCGGTACCGATCAAACAATTCCTGGGTGTGAGAATAAAAAGAAGCATTTGCTACCACTCTCATTGCCCTTTTCTGTAAAAGTAACAACTTGTTAATATTCTTTTTTGTTGTTGTTTCCCAAATTAGATGTGTGTAACCAAGCTTAGGGGAGAATAAAGAATGGTATAATAAGAGATTTATGTGCTCAGGCAGTAGGTATCTATTTCTATTGATGAGGCCAATTGTTTTGCAAAGTTTTTTGTGTATTTCATTAACATGGTAATCCCACGTGAGATTACTCGAAAAGTACACTCCTAACACCTTCACACATTCAACTATTTCTATTTTGCATTGACCAAGGCAGACGTAAGGCAGAACAGCTGTGGTATTTTTCGTTCGGAACAGTACTGCTTTAGTTTTTTGAGTATTTATTACCAGAGAATTTTTCTCAGTCCAGGAAAGTAGAAGTGGTAGGACATCTGCGCAAATTTTTTTTATATCTTCGGTTTTCTTACTAGTCACTAACAGGGTTGTGTCATCTGCGTAGCAAATAAGGGATATTCGGGGGTGTGAGAAAGCGTACTGCAAGTCATTCACATATATGGAGAACAGCAGAGGCCCTAGTATGCTTCCCTGGGAGACTCCAGCCTTAATGCACTTAAGTTCAGAGTGGAAGTCGCCAAGTGAAACGTACTGTTTTCGGTGGCTTAGATAAGACGACATGAGGTTATGAGCAATGACGTTTATACCGTAGGAATGCAACTTACTGAGCAAAATTCTATGACTTAATGAATCAAATGTCTTTGATAAGTCAATAAAAATTCCTAAAGTTAAGCAGTGATGCGAGATATTATGTAATAATATTTCTTTTTGTTTTAGCAAGGCAGTTTCAGTAGAACAGTGTTTTCTGAAACCATGTTGAAAGTTGCCAAGTAATGAGTGTTTAGAAAGATAACTGGATAGCCTAAGGTGTAAAAGTTTCTCGGTGACTTTAGAAAAAACTGGCAGAATTGAAATAGGCCGATAGTTCTTAAAGACATTTTTGTCCCCACCTTTAAATATCAAGACAACTTTCAAAATTTACATTCTCTGGGGAAATGTTCCACAAATATATGTGTCAGCGGAAACATGATTAAGTCTACAATATGTTTAACAGGTCTGATTTCCAAGCTATTGACATCGCAAGTGCTACTATTGTTTAAATTTAGGATGGTACAGTGCACCTCCTGCACGTCGGTAGAAGATAAAAAACACATGTAGCGTTGAAGTTTAAATCTATGTTGCCTGAATTGCAACATTCTGAACGCGTGTCAGAAAATTGTATAAAAAAATTGTTGAAAAGATTGGCCAACGGTGAGCCCGATACAGCTTGACCTTCATAATTAATGGTTGTTGTTTGTTGGTAGTTTTCGGGAGTGGCCAAGTAGGGAATTTATTTTCTTCCACGTTAGATCAGATTGTTTGATATATTGAGAAAATAAATTATTATAGTAGCTATTTTTAGCCTTTCTAACAACGTTGACTATTTGGTTTCGGATGGACTTAAATTCTTTGAATATGTTAGGATCTCGTCTAGTGATGCACTTTTTGTACAAATGGTTTTTGTGCTTGATTTTTTGCAGAATGTCTTTGATAACCCAGGGTTTGCGAGTCTGGCGTGATTGTGTTACGGTTTTAGTTTGAAAGCAAACTTCATAACTTGTGCAAAAAGTTTTTAAGAAAGTTTCGTAGGCTTGGTCAGGGTCATGCTCATTGTAGACTTGTTGCCATGTAAGTGCGCTTACAGCCTCTCTAAACTGTACTAGATTATTATAGAGATATCCTGGAAAGTGTGTTTCTCCCTTTCTTTCTTGGGTTGGTCAGTACTAGCCAGAAGCATGAAAACTGCTAAACGGTCACTTAAATCTGTAGCAATAACATCTGCTTTTATCAATAAGTGCAATGCATTTGTAATGAAAAAATCTAGGAACGTCGACGATGTTGCCGTAACTCTGGTTAGTCCGGTAGATATTATGCCAAAGCCATTCAACGCAACAAGTGCAGCCAGGGACGTTTGCTTCAAATTATTGTCGAGTATGTTGGTAATAAAGTCGCCTCCAAGTACAAGTTCAAATTTGTTTTCAGTGGCGAAATTAAGAATCTTCTCAAGAAACGTACAAAAATTGTCAAATGAATCCGTTGGGGGTGTATAGAGCCCTATTAACATACTTGCTGCATTACATAAGGTTACCGCTTCATAGTCCTCTGTTACAATGGTGAAACAGGGTTGAAGGCTACACTCAAAAGACTTGTGAACAAGTACTGATACCCCTCCACTGCGTTTGCTTTGTCGTGTTACGAAAAAGTGCAAATAGGCTGAGGGTTTGTACATTTCTGACCCTTCATCATAGCACGTTTCTGTTGGTATAATTGCTGAAAATTGAAAACCTAGTGTCTGAAAAAGCATGTCTAATTCATCGGTTTTTGATTTTGCGAAGCGGCAGTTCAAGTTTATAAAAGACAGAGGATTTTTACATGCCTTTGCAATCTCTTAGAATTGGTGTGACGCGATCACCATGTTGTACACGCTTGCATATGCTAGCTTAACGTGCACGATCGCCCTCCTTTTTCCTTAACAATATCTTGCTATTTGAGTGCCAAGCAAAACGGAATCCGTTTCCAGTGGCCCAGTCTTTTGTTTTCCGAAGAAGGTCGCGGTTGTGCGTGGTCATGTTTTCGAGAATTGAAGCCTGCTGTTCAGTGGCCCTCGGCTTCTGGCGTGCAGTAAGCCATAGATCTTGGTCTGACTGACGGCTGTAGCGGATGATTATTCCCGGTAACTTATCTGGTTTTGATGGAAGCCGGTGGATCGCTGTGACGTCATTTGTTGAGAGGCATGGGACAGCAAGAATGGGCGTGAGCGCATTCAGCTTATCCAGCAAATCTTCAGCAGGCGTCACAGGGATTCCGTGTACTTCCAAATTTAGACGCCGGCTGCGCCATTCAAGGTCATGCACGGCATCTTGCAGTTTCTTTTGTGTTTCCACAACTTCAGCTTGTTCCACTGCATCTAGACGTTTTTTGATTGACTTAATTTCTTTGTCATGTTCGTCTAGGCGCTTTATCGTGGCATCAAACTTGTCAGACATTAGTTGTACTGAACGTTCCGTTTCCGTCACCGTTGCTGGCAAAAGCATAAGTTGTTCAAGCTTTGCATTATCATTTATCGTTTATTCAAGCTTTGCATTATCATTTATGAATCTTGAATTTGGTTAACTGTGCCAATTCAATATGTGAAATTGTGAACAAGTGGAATTAGTAGTGTGTAACTTGGCAAAAAAAAAGGAAGAGGCAAAACTTGGAATGTACGCATGACACAATCCTTGTATTATAGCATGGGAGAGTACAGGAAAGGAATGTCAGTGGCAGACATTTGGGTATTTCATCCTTGTTTTCACCTGTGTACTTCAATGTAGAGGCGCGTGCCGGGAAGAGAGGAAGAGAAGTAATTATCAGAGCAAGAATTAAGGTTCCTCGCAAGTAAAGCTGCGCACAACTATTCATAGTTATTTTAGTTTTCAGTATAGTATTCATAGATTTTTTATTAGGTTTTTTGTCTTGCCTTACTCTTCTTTGCATTGTTCATCTTTCGTCACATAGTTTTTGTATCCTATATATGTTTTCACGCTCTGCACAATAAACTCATTTGCAAGTTAGCGCTCGTCGTCTTGCCCTTTGTCGTCGTTTTAAGCTCGCGCTATAACAATAGTTTTGTTACTGCCGCCTGTGGTGTAATTCTGACGTCATAGTACTTTGACTGGGAGCTGTTGAATAAAAAAGCAGCCTAGACAATGTTCAGTGACACATTGTTTAGCGGTTAAGATTACCGCTTAGTGATGGTGCATAAGATATGGGCTCAAGTGCTCATGGGGACGAGAAAAAAGAAAGAGGAAAGATGGGGAGATTAGTGACTGCTGTTTAATGATAGGGTATTTATTGGAATCTTTCTTGCGATCCTCCAGGCTCAAAAGAGAAGTCCTTGCAGTTGTTGTATGCTCTAGCATACAGTTAGTATATGCAGGAGGAACATTGATCATGATAAAAAACATTCTTCTGTAGCTTACCGTATCATTGTTCCAAAGTACTTCTTTTTCTTTTCTTTTTGGTTCTATCGAGCATGGCTCACAAGCAAACGAAATTGTTAAACCTGTTTGACTGACACCATGATGTGAACAAGAAAAGCTATGTTTTTAAAAGTCGGTGTAACTAGCCTGATTATATTTGCTCTGGAATTTCGCAGTGAAACACACAAAGCTGGCTGTACTGTATTTCCTCACAACTTTAGTCGCGGTTGACATTTGTCACATAGATCAATGTCTTGATAATTTTCTAAGAGTGCTTAATGCTGTCGAAATCGGGTTTTTGCCTGCACCAGTGTCCTCGTTGCGAGATCAAAAAGCTGTTTCGCTTTTGTTTGCTGCAAATAGGCTTCACTACACACAGAATATTAATTGTTTCCTAACCAACCCTGTCTCCCAGGTGTCTTACCACGCTCTACCCAAGAACTCCCGCCGCCGCAAGCTGTGGTTAGCTGCCCTTGGAGAGAAGCCCCCTTCAAACTGGACCAAAGCACGAATCTGCTCTGGGCACTTCAGGGATGAGGACTTTGTGCCCACTGTTCAGAATGGCCGCAGACTTCTCCCTACTGCGGTACCCCATGTGTGCCTCTTCAAAGCACATGGTGATGGTGCCATTAAGTGCTACCTAGATGAATCGACGTCACCCAGTCCGGATCCAAAGTCACCCGAGCAGAGAGATGAGGCGCAGGCTCCTTGTCCTAAGGATGAGGAGATTGCACACCTCAAACGCCAGCTGCAGGCTTCCGACGTGATCATCGAAAACCTTCAGCAGCAGGTTGGTTTGTTTACTGAAGAAATGTTTAACACAGTTGGTTGTTGTTGCTCCCATCTTGATGTATATGGTGAAACTGATAGGATTCTCTAGCAGTTCATTTGTAAGAGGCACAAAAAAGCACATAAACAACGCAATGCTTCATTTGGCAGTACTTGTTAGACTACGGGTCAAAGGGGACGTTGGTGGGAGATGACATGCCATGTGGACACTTTCTGTTGATTAGGTCTGCTGAGGTTGGTCCTACTAATTAGGATTATTATTAAGGTAACCGTTTGGGCCTGTATAAAGCGCAGACACAAGTGCACGCAGACACAAGTGCACGCAGACACAAGTGCACGCATCAGGTAATTTTGAACGTTACCCTGAAGGCCATTCTTTCGATTGAAGTGGAAAGAGTTTATATCAATGGAAACACAGGCGTGATGGCTGGAAGAATTGAGTTATCAGGTGAGCTGAGCTAGTCAGAGCCAAACTTAAACAAGACGATTGTATGCCAGCTGTATGGGCACGGAAGTGAAGCTATGTTTAACCACACAAACTGTAATAGATGGCTACATTTGGTTACGAGAAAACCCGAGCTGCACTCCTACAGGCATTTGTTACTTATAATAGTTGTAACTCTGTCTTTGTTTGTGGTATTATGAAACTGTGCTCCATCCAAAACAGATTGCCATGTGTGACCACAGTAACCTCTTGTCTTTGAGATGGTGACTATAGCCACTTTTTCTTTTCTCATTACATGTTCCAGCCTATTTTAAATGGTGACTTTTTTCGTTCTTTTGATGCAATGCTCGACAAAATTTTGAATTTCTAAAAAGATGTTAGCAAAGTTTGCAAAAAGTACTTGCCAAAGCAGGCCTGAACATTGCTTAGTTCGAGGGATACAGTAATGCCTCGTTATCTCGAACTATGATATCTAAAAAAAATTGGCTGAGTTGAAATTTTCTGCGGCACCAAACATTTTCCTATACGCCCCATGTACATTTTTTTCTTAATCTTGAAGCATTTTGGAATCAGATTGCGGATAACTTGAAATCTTGACTGGGAGTGGAATGAAAATCCTGCTGCTGGACTATTTCACAAAATTCACACGATGGTGCCACGTCTGAAGTTCGTCGTTTTTTTTTTTTCTTATTTAGCCGCGCCTGCCACTATGTCGATGCTTTCAGCGAGCGCGAAGTGTGCGAAGTCTCAGACCAGTGAAATATTAGCTCTGTTAAGCAATCCTGTAGCATGTCATGTGACACATGCACTGAGCAGGGAGGCCCTCTGCCCACGCATTGCGTAGTTTGTCTCGTTTGCTTTGTGCAGTGTACATGATTTTCCCTGAGGTGTGATTTCCATTCATCTGTGCAAACAGTGCAGTATGGTTTTTTCGCTGACTGTGAGTGCAAGTTTCGTGATTTTCTATGATGTGTGATTTCCGTTCATCTGCACAAACCAAGTGGTATGGATTTTTCGCTGACTGTGAAGAGCAACTTAGCTTGAGTGCAGCAAGCATTGCGTTTATCAAGAGCCGAAAGAGCCTTCTCCACAGAATTTTGTGGTCTTATGAAAACAGCAAAGGCTATGAAATGAACCTGCTGGGAGCAGTACACCTTCTCAGCAGTGCTTGGCAGCAAGTTCACACAGTGGTTATCTCCAACTGCTTTGCACACGCTGGGTTTTCATGTGCCACCAGTTTGCCCGAAACAGAGACAACAGAGACAGATGACTTTTTGTTTTTAAATTTAAACATACTGCAGGCTTTTCATGGCCTATGCAGGAGTGGAGACAAGAAAATACATACTAAACATCGAAAGAAAATACAAAACGGAATAACAAGAAAGAAGATACAATGTCAACAGCTCATGATTCAAATTGGACACACTGTATTATTTATGTTCATAAATGATTGAATGGTGTTACAGCACACAATATTGTTATCTAGTCTATATTCCAATGGTGAATAGCTGACGAAAAAAGGGAACGTTTGTGAGCGTTAACACAACTGAAAGGTTGGCGGATAGTTTTAGAATGGTTCAGTAGCAAGGCGGGTCTAGCAGGTAACGAGATCGTGATATGCGGAATGGACCACAATATAATTGGTAAAGAAATTTTAGTTGCGAGATAATTCTGCGTTGCGAAAGAGGTTTTAAGTTTGTTCTTGCGAGCAAGCCTGGATTGCCTCGAGAAGTCTGACAAACTGTGAGGAACTTTGTCAAGAGGTTATCAAGCTTACAGGCAACGTTGCCGCTGAAAATGTCGTGACTTTTCTCGAGTATGCGCTGTGTGAGCTGGATGTGGCGGTGGCCGGAGCAGTGGTGGATGCTGAAATCGTTCAAATGGCCACTAGCGTAGAGGACGGTGGAGACAAGGGGGATGACGATCCATCTCGAAAGGTGCTCCCATTTTCGGAGACGAGAAATTTACTGCACTTGCTTCAAGATAACCTCGAGTGCAGCGGCAGGGAAGATTGACTGATGGGATGCGTCAAGCAGCTAGAGGACGCCTTCCAAGTATGACCGCAAAGCAGACGAACATTAGGGCAGCAACCCAGCCAGTCAAAGTCTCTTGATTGTATTTTTGCTCTTTTAAACCTGCACGAGAAGAAAGATTAGAAACTGCAGCTGAAGAGCTGGCAAGTAGCTGTAATTTTTCTGACAAGGGCACTCATTTTTTTCCGGTGGTTAGCACAACTTTGCCTTTATCAAAAATCTGTTTATCACGAAATTTTTTTTTGTTTTGACGACTTCGATTTAATTAAGTATTACTTACTTAAGGAATGACGCTGCTGTGTGATACAAATCATGAAGCCAATTATGCTTGCAGACTGACTAAGCAGTGTTTGATATTTTTACAAGGAAACTAATATTTGCAGATATTTTTATTATGTTTACACGGGAGGACAATGGTTGCCACACTGGCAGGCTGGGACCAGTCTCTATCCACTTCGTAGTCTTTTTCTTCCAGGCAGAGACCCTCTATCGCTTTATGCCCCAATCGCACTACTGCCTTGTGGTACTACCCCCCCCCCTGCCGCGTTAAAGCGCCGACCCGGCGCTTGTCACGAAAGCATAGTGTTGGGTGACACATAAGGCTTTAGTCTTAGGGCGGGCACAAGATTAGATAGTGGTGGCGTTGAGTGTGCTTCATTGACGACTCGCTGTATCTTATAGGTGAAATCAGTGACCTTGCACAGGACTATGTGGGGTCCGTCATAGCAAAATAAGAGCTTTTCTGAGAGGCCGGCGGGACGAGATGGTGTCCACAAGAGTACTAGAGAACCGGGTGCATCACGGTGGTGACGATCGTACCGATCTTTCTGAGAGGCTTGAGAAAGTATGAGTCGCTCTTGGGTAACCTGTCGTGCTACGTCGACTCGTTCTATGGCATCGCGGACGTATGTGACAGGGGAGCTTGAACCAGTGGGAAGGAGTGTATCAAGAGGTATAGAGGGTTCACGTCCATAAAGAAGGTAGAACGGGGAATTGCCTGCAGTGTCATGTCTGGAGGAGTTGTAAGCGAAGGTGACGTAGGGTAACGTTGCGTCCCCGTCGCAGTGGTCTGGAAAAAGATGCATCGACAACATGTCGGTGATAGTGCGATTCAGGCTCTCTGTAAGTCCATTAGTTCGTGGATGGTATGTCATTGTGAACTTGTGGTTCGTGGAACAGAACGTACGATATCTTGGACGATGCGAAATAAAAAGTATCGGCCTTGGTCAGTAGCGAGCTGTCGAGGAGCACCGTGACGCAAAATGATGTCATGCAGTCGAAAGTCGGCGACACTGGTAGCGCAGCTGGTTGGGAGAGTGCGGGTGATTGCGTAACGGGCATAAAGCGGTAGAGGGTCTCTGCATGGAAGAAAAAGACTACAAAGTGGATAGAGACTGGTCTCAGCCGACCAGTGTGCCAGCCATTGTCCACGTGTGTAAACATAGTAAATATCCGCAAATATACGTTTCCTTGTAAGATAATTCGTGGAGGTGCTGGGTACGCCTACCTGGCTCTCCCGGCAAACCAACACGCAACTACCGAGTGGTCGGCACTTTAATTTTTCTGCAATGGCTCAACAGGCCAACCAACAAAAGCAACAGCAGCCGCAGCAGCAGCAGCTGCCTCCTCTGATTTTCCAGCCTCCACGAGACCCCGAACCTTCTCGGTCACAGGCAAGGACAAGGTGAATGTCGAAGATTGGGTCGCATTGTACGAGTGCATGAGCGAATACTATAGGTGGGACCCCATGTTGATGCTGGCCAACGTTGTCTTTTACTTGCGGGATACGGCACTCATCTGGTATGAGATGCATGAGTCGGAGTTGACCAGCTGGGATATTTGCAAACTGAAGCTTGTCGAGTTGTTCAGCAGGCCATTTGGGCGACAGCAGGCCGCAAAGAAAGACGTGGAATGTTGGGTGCAGAGATCGACGGAATCATACACGTCTTATATAAAGGACGTACTGGGCCTCTGTCGAAAGGTGGACGAGAACATGAGCGAAACTGACAAAACCGCCCACATATTAAAGGGAATTGCTGACGATGCCTTTAATCTGTTGATCGTTAAAGGTTGCGCCACCGTCAACGCAGTTGTGAAGGAATGTCAGCGCTTCGAGCACGCCAAGAACCGTCGCATAACGCACCAGTTTGCGCATCTGCCTAATACTGCAGTCACTTCGGCCTGCAGCATTAGGCAGGTCGAAGTGACTGCAGTATTATGTTCAGCTGCGAACTCTGCCCCAAGTTCACGCAAGCAACATCATTCGTAAATGTCACCCTAATCGTTCGCCACAAACTCCAAGCAATGGCTGCTGCAGCCATCACTTCCGACGGCCCTCAAGATAATGCATCCTCCATCTCCCTCATCCAAGCCGTCGTTCACCAAGAAATAGCGAATCTCGGCATCACACCTGTTTGCACTGTTCGCACTACCGAGAGTTCAGCTTCGGTTAATGAGATTCCTGTGTACTCTTCCCGCTACCGGAACCCTGCTGAATGGAGGACGTCGGATGATCGACCAATC